GCCAAGGTGATTACGATTTAATATCAAACTTTATTTCATCAATCAACTAGAATATTTTGTTTCTCCATAAAACCGCGGATCAAATATTTAATTTATTATTTTCTAACAATTGTACTGATTACGAATATTTTATTCCCAAGGTTATAAAACAAAGAAAAAGTATGATCCATGGTTACTTCACATATTAAAAACCTAATTTGAGAAAAAAAAATCCGCTTTGTATATCAACTGCTCAACTAAATGGAAGAATAATAAACTTATAGTAAACTGCTATCTTCTTAATCTTTCCGTAAAAGCTGAAATATCTAAAGCAAAAAGAGCACATAAAAAATAAATATTATTAATATCCCTCTGAATATTTTCAATCGTTAAAAAAGTGATACTAACCTGAATGAACTTATAATAACCACTTAGGTTTTTCTATTTCAGACATTATTAACTTACCAATCTAAACCCCTATAAATATTTTTTGCATTTAAAAAAATCTTTCCTGAATTCTTTAATTCTGGAATACACTCATTTTCTAGGATTAGGCAAATTTTAGCGCGGTCTTTATAAAAACGGGAGACAAATTACTTGCTGAAAACTATCGACCTAATTCACTAAACTCTGTTGCCTGCAACTCACTAAACTCTGTTGCCTGTCAAATTACTTATAAGACCAAAATCTTTAAGCACATTAATGATAATAAAATGCCCTCTGCAAATCAATATGGCTTTCTTTATCATAAATTATGCGTTACTAATCTAATAGAAACTTTTGATAGTATATGATCTTCTATAGTATTTCACCAATTTATTGATGTAATCTCGATTTCACCAAAGCGTCGATTCTTTACCTCAAAACAGGCTTATGTTAAAATTAAGATATTTTGTAATAAATGAGAAACAAAATAAAAATGTATAATAAATCAATCCCTAAAATGCTCTACTAAAAGGCGTAATTTAGGAGTCATTATTTTATGTAACGCCAAGTGGAGCACACATTTTCGACAGTTATCTCAAAATCCTTACATATTCTTGGTATTCAAAAAGATATTCACTTTCATTGATGAAAAAATGACTCTTAAGTTATATAAAGTGTTTAATAGACCAAAACCTAAATTTAGTGTCTTTTTGGGCTTCTTTTTTTAAAAACTAATAAAACCTTGAAATAAATCTATTCAACGCAAAGCAACAAAATGGACCTTCAGCTTACGACATTTTTAATACTGGGAAAGACTAAGAAAATTGAATCTACCATCATTGACTAAGTGTTTTGGGTGGGGCAGCTTAGGGTTGAGAAAAATTTTCGGCACATTTTAAACATTGAAAATTTCCGCATTATTGCATTTTACCAGTGTCCACAATAACATATTATGATATAAATTGCTCATTTAAAAGTATAATAGCAACAATTATATATATTTGACATTACCCATTAGCGTAGCAACTGTACAAAAATCCTTAAGCACATTAAAACAAATTTAAGGACAACAATGGTGCAAATCATTTTGTCTGCACTAGACCTAATTGCAACTGAAACAGCTCAATTAAATTTAAAAGGTGTTAGGCCAAGGTATAATTTATAGACCAAGGTATAATTTAAAGGCTAATTTGCAGCTATAAAGACAAGAAAATAACTTTCATTAGATTTTTTACTTACTAGACTTGTTTAGTGTCACATACTGGTTTCTATTCAATTAAATCAAAGTTGTATTTAAAAATAAGGTTTTTGTTTTCATGAATTATTTTTGTCAAGAAAAAGGAAGGAAGAGGGGGGCAAAGAAGTAATTTAGGGGCCCGGATTAAAATTTTGCGTGGAGGCTTTTTTGTCGCTACGCTGTATATAAGAAAATTTCATAATAAAAAGAACATTTCATAATAAAAAATATCTATAAAAATACTCACTCTTCATTCTTCCACCAGGCTAACAAACATGAGCAGGGTCGACCGTTTGGCGGAAACGCTTTTTATAGTTCGGAAACATTTGTTTCAAAACATTATTATTCTATATGAAGATGATCATATCTTTGCAATAAATCTTAAAAAAAATCAGACTAATATTATTATTATTGGCGTTTATCTTTCATCGTCGCGCAATAATCAAACATCACTGGAGGATTACAAAAGTCAGTTGGATATAATTTCAGGTGTTATTAATAACTACGACGGCGTTGCTGAATTTATTGTCCTTGGCGACTTTCAATCTTTTCCTCACGGAATATATGATTCATTAAAGAAAGCTAGCTCTACGAAAAATAACTACTCCGTAGTTTTATCAAATTTTCGAATGAGTCGAATGAGCTTGAATTAGAAAAAGTCGAATGAGCTTGAATTAGTGGACGTAACAAAAGGCTCTGGACCTAAGATAACGTATCACCATAATACATTACCAAACGCATCTTACATAGATCACATAGCTTCCTCAAAGTATACGTCTCTTCTTTGTTCTAATTGTTTCGTAATTCCTTTTTTATCTCAAAACATGAGTGATCATCATTTACAAGTATCGATTGAAGTTGAAATTATTGGACAATCTTCTTAAGAAAACAATCATAAAAACTCAGACAAGTACAGCATTCCAAATTATGCCTGGAATAACAATGATTTTTTACAACTATATAATAATCGCTTAAATACTAATTTTAATTTTCACAATTTTACGAATGACAATTACGATGAGGAACTTATCAAAGTATATACTGTTATTACAAAATCGGTATCTGAGGCAGTTAGTCAATATTTATCCATGAAAACACCGTCATTGCATTCAAAATCCTGGTGGACACCCGAATTAAGCCGTAGTAAAAATGTCCTTTTATTTTATTTTAAAAAATGGTGGGAAGCTGGCTTCGTTAAAAACTTAAACTCGCAAATTATTATTCGATACCGGATGGCACAAAAAAATTTCCGCAATGCTGTAAAAAATGCTCAAAATAAAAACCTGTACAAAGAATACATAAAAATCGAAACGTTAAAAAATACAAATCCTAAATACTTTTGGAAAAGTTTCAGAAATATAAAAAAAGATGCAAATTCGAAATTGTATATCATAAATGATAAAAAAGATAAATACTCAATTACAAAAGAATTTGTCTACAGTTTTGAAAATTGATTAAACTCTAAAGGAATCACATATACCTCTACAAATTTAAAAATTATACCTTGCACAAAATTTGACGAGGTAATAATATCGGATGAAAATAAAAAAATGGTTATTTCTCGCCTTAAATTTAACAAATCCAAGGACGCCTTCGGAATATCAGCGGAGCATTTAAAGAATGCGAGCTGTGAAGCACTAACAGAATGGCTCAGAAAATTTTTAACTTTTCTATTAATCATGGACAGACCCCAAAATCAATGTCTACATCACTTATAATACCACTTGCTAAATCGTATAAAAATCCTTAACTGATCCAAATAACTACATTAGCATCATTCCAATCTTTACGAAACTAATAAAATATCTTATTCTATTAATCTGTCCAGAAAGAAAAGAGTTTCATCCTCTTCAATTCGGTTTCTCTAAAAATAGTTCAACCCTACACGCTGAATTTGTTATTAGTGAAATAATTAAACACTACAACAACAAAAACTCACCTGTCTATCTCTGTTCCCTAGATGCTGAAAAAGCGTTTGACAGCTGCAACTGGGACATTCTGTCTGAGAGACTGTACAATGATAAAAAAACTTCCTCTGTATATTTTTAATACCATATCGTCATTATACTATGAAAGCAGTGCTTCTGTTTCTTATCTAGATTGCAAATCATATCCTTTTTATCTAACTCAAGGGGTGAGACAGGGATCTAATATCTCGCCTTATTTGTATAACATTTATACTCAAAACCTACTAGAAACCTTACAAAACGAAAGCGTCGTAAGTACATCAATCAATGGAAACTATACGGCTGTTGTAGCATATGCTGATGACATTATACTCCTTAGCTCCACCCTCTCTGGCCTACAAAAGCTTATTATATATGTAATATTTACACACACAAAAACTGCATAAATTTGCATGCTAACAAAACCGAGTTCCTGCTCACCGGAAAAAAGCAAATTAAAAACTGCACAATAACTCTCAACCACCAACAAATAAAACTTCATGATAAACTTAGTCATCTAGGCTTTACATGGGATACAAAAAGTTCACCTTTTGCCTCACTTAATAAATCAAACATTGATCACCGAATATCTAATTTCCGGACGGTAATCCAAACCTTAATTCAATCAGGAATCCCTTTTGCTCACCCAAACTCCATTGTTCAGTTATATAAAACTTTAGCTGTTCCAACACTAACTTATGGTCTTGAGCTGTGTGAACATAAAAAGATGTTAATGCAAAAGCTTGATATAGTTGGAAGAAATGCACTTAAATCACTCCTCGATGTTTCAAAACATAGCAAAAATTATATTCATACCTTATTTTTTATTGAAGATATATCAATTATTATACAACAAAACAAGTTAAACTTATTTATTTGCCTGATGAACAATAAAATGACATATGATATGATTAAGTTGCAGCTGAAAAACGAAACAGCCTCACAACATTTTTTAGATAGTATCAAAAGCTTGTGCAATAATCATGAACTAAATCTGGAGACAATAATGGAAAGTAAAAAAAAAAAAAAAAAAAATCATCGGCCTCAAAAATTTAATTCCTGAGACGGATCTTCAAACTCTAAAATGTGCAGTTGAGTGCTGGAACTTAAAAGAGCAGAGAACTATCTTCAAGGACATTCTTGAAAAACATATTCCTAGATGATCACGTTAAAAAAAATTCCAAGATTTTTTGTATTTATCTTGTATGAAACTCTTAATTTACCTTATTTGTATAGTGGGTGTTTAATGAATCTAAATAATAATAATATTTGATGTTTCAAAATTACAATTTTTTTAAGGCTGGTTTGAATCAAAAGATTTTCCGCTCTAATTCGAACAATTTTGTTTCAGTTTTGTTTTGTTTCGAATTTCGGAGTTTCATTTTTTTGTAGTTCGGACCTGTTGTACACTTTACTTGTATATGTTTTCCTCCATAAATTCAAGTTGGACTAAAAGCAATTAAAATTTCGAGGCGCATGGGGATTCAAAACTTTGTTTTTTATATTGCGTTTGTATAGAGTTGCTTCTTCAAATCTTTCTTTAAAAATGGCTGCAACTTCTCCATACCATATCGCATCTCTTCTTGATAAGGTATATTTCAAAATCATGTATAGCATTTCAAAAAATATTACTTGCATTTTTATAAAAATTCTTGATAGGTTTTAATAGGTTTCAATTTATAGAATCATGTCGATTATAATATAATCAATATGGGGTGTCTTTATGTATTAGAAAATATAGTTTATATTATGTATTAGAAAATATAGTTTAAACACACCTCCTATAAAAAAAACATAAACCTGCATAAACTAGACTAAACAGGTCTGTGTTCTAATCATTAAAGATTGAATGTTCAATTCATAATTGAATTTTTGTATTTGATGATATGTTTTTAATATCTCATTCATTGATTACATTAGTTTTATGATAAGGTGTTATTAAAAGTCCACCACATCAGGGAGGGTTGTCTAACTGTCACTTCAGTTAATTTTTTTCTCAATTATATTTTTTATTACAGACCTATCAATTATATTTTTTATTACAGACCTATTAGACCAAAACCAGCAGCTATTAAAAAAAAATAATAAAGTAGCATACAATAACTTTTTCTCTTAAAAAGTGCTTTAAGTTAATAACAATGTTTTGAAAAAGGTAGACATTATTTTCACACACAAACAACTATTTTTTTCTCAGTTGTATGCACATATTTAAACACAAATTATTATTAAATATTTTGACTATTTCACCTAAAAATCTTGTGTAATTTTACATAATAATTTTTTTATAAAATTAGATTAATTTATAAACCCTATTTAAATAAATATTAAAATATTTTCTTTTATTTTAAAGAATGCCTACCTAAATCTAAGTCTTCAGTGTATGTACACTCTATTGTGACTATCTCTATTTATGTCAGTCAATGTATGTACACAATGTATGTATATACAATGTATGTATATTCCTGTTTAAGTCAGTAGAGGTATGTATACTCCGCCGCGACTACATCTAAATAATTCGATTTATGTATGCATCGATGCACTTATTCTATGAAACTTTTAAAAATAAATAGCAAACATAACTATAAATATACAACAATATTAGTTTAAAAATATTAAAACTCTTTAGAAATAAAACAACACAATTAAAAAATATATATCCCTAAACATGTCAGGATTTAAACATGTCAGCCATACCTCAAAAAAGACCATTTTAACATCCACATCACTATGCTAATTTATTGATGGTGTGAAAAAATTTAACTACTTCAACTTTTTCGCGTACAAATATCTTTATTATGTAAGCATTTGTACAACAATACAAATAATGACTTCCTTTGAAAAATATACCAAAATTCTATTTTTTTTAACTAAAATATTGTTTTTTTTTTCTATACCAGGGTGTCTGTCAGATCAGGAAACAGTCAAGGGGTTTAGATCTGGGAACAATCAAGGAAATTGGATTAAATTTTAGAACAATCAGGGAAAAATAAAAAAAATGGGTCTTTAACAAACTGTCATTACCTATATCAACTATAAATCATATATATTTGTTAGATTAAAATTAACATATTTTTTTTACCTTCTTTCTAAATTTTTTTAATGTGGAATGTATTGATGTTTATACATTAGATTGTCGCTTGAAAAAAATTTTAAAAAAATATATATAACACTAAAAGTATTCAATATTTTAAAAATAAAACACTAGATTAAATTTTTTTTTAAGTAAAATATTTTTTGAAAAAATATATTTTATGGGTTTTCTCAATACCCTTTAACATTTAACAAGTCGCTAAGTTTAGCAAAAAAAAGTTCTTTATAAATAGGTCAACCTGGTACTCAAATAAAATAAAAATTATATAAAAATTTCAAACACATTTTATATTTAAAAAAAGTTTATTAAAACTTTTATAAAATATGTTTTTTCAACTCATGCATAAAATATTCTTTCAACTCCAGCAGCTGAAGCAATAGCAGTTAGTAACTGATTAATTCAGTAATTCCTGGTTCACAGAATCATTATGAGATTTCCACCAATCACATGGCTTTATAGTTTGAACAATGTTATCATGAAACATAAACTTTTGAAATCTTTTGAATCTGCTATAGAATCTGCTTTAGAATTAACTATAAGTCGTAATTCCTCTTTAGTTTTGTACATAGCAGCAACAAAACAATTGTTTCTAAAATGTTTAACAATTTGAACTATCTGCTCCTTGATGTTTGGAATCTCAAAATCTTGGGCCAAAAGATTGAGAATATGAGCTAAGTATCCATAAATTTTAACATTAATACCATTTCAAGTTTCTAATCATTGTATCATTTTTGACACGTTTGCTGCATTATCAATTACTAGCTGGTGAACTTTACAACCAAATTTTTTTTTCGCATTTGTTTAAATGCAAAATTTAAATCAATCGAATAGTCATATGTATCCACAAAATATCTGAATTGTTATCATTACTGTTGCACAAACTATTGGTTCATTATAGACTCCACCCATCAATACTCATGGTTAGTTTTTGATCATGACGCTAACCTGAACAACTAATTAAACTCTTCTTGTGAACAGTATCTAGATGTTTTCCACTAATATCAATTCTATTAGGAGGGTTGTATCCTGGGCGTTAAAATGGATCATTTTGATAAACTCTGGATGGTCAACCATTCTGAAAGGCAAGTTAGTAGTATAAATCATTCTAGCTATCTGCTCATTGATTGCTTTTTTTTTCAGATTTTGTGGTTTTAATAAGGTATGAATCCAATTTAGTTGTAACTGACTTGCCACTGCCTTTTTATATGAACACAAAAAATTTGCTTTATATTTTTTTTATTTTCAACTAAAAATTAACAAGCAGTTATAAATAATCTAATATTTGAAAAAAATAAACTTGAATAAAAAACTTCTATATAAAAGGAATATATTTATATTTATTATATAAATACTAACAAAACAGAAATTAATATAATTATCCTAAAGGTTAACCCATGAAACAAAAAATTTAAATGGATAAAAATCTTACCATAGATTTAAAAGTTAAAATAATGAATTATGATTAAAATATATTATATAATGCCTGACTATTATAACTACTACTAATTTGTGTACAAGTTATTTGCATTTGAATTTAAGTTGATTAATCAATAAATAATCATTAAAAAAAGATTAAAATCAAAAAACTCGATTTAAATCATGATTTTTATTTGTCCAAATTAAATCAACTGATTTAAATCAATTTTACTATATTAAATTGTAAAATTATACTTAAAGACAAATTTATTTATGTATAAATAGGAATAAATATATAGCTACAAAAACAACATTTTAACAAGTTCTTTGAATGAAGTTAAAAGTGCAGATTTATTTATGATTTTAAGGTACAATTAGTTTTTGTGAAATATTTGTTAAAGAGTAGACCTAGTTTATCCATATTTTTCTATTTTTGCCAGTTTTTTGTAAAGCAAATTTTGAAAACAAGTTTTTGTGTTTATCAACTGCATATAACTGCAATATTAACTGCATTAAGCAAAGAAGTACGCTGGTACAAAAATCCTGTTGTTGTATAATGTTAACTGCATTAAGCAAAGAATTATGCTGGTAGAAAAATCCTGTTGTTGTATAATGTTAACTGCATTAAGCAAAGAAGTATGCTGGTAGAAAAATCCTGTTGTATAATGTTAACTGCATTAAGCAAAGAGGTATGCTGGTAGAAAAATCCTGTTGTTGTATAATGTTAACTGCATTAAGTAAAGAAGTATGCTGGTAGAAAAATCCTGTTAGAAAAAGCTTAAGTTACATTATTACATTGTTCTACATTATTAATGTGTTTTACAGTTTTTATTTTGTTTTGTAAAGTTTTCATACAGGAATTGCTTTTATTATTTACGAATTTGTTTGAAGATGTTTTAAATTGTTTTTTTATTATTATCATTACATATAAATCTTAGATGTCATCATCAGATAAAGATTTTCGTTATATGGCAACAAATGATTTAATGAGTGAGTTGCAAAAGGATTCAATAAAGCTTGATGATGACCGTGAGAGAATGGTATGCATATTTAATAAAATACATTTATTTAGTTTATATATATATATATATATATATATATATATATATATATATATATATATATATATATATATATATATATATATATATATATAATTGTAGATATAATATACAGACATTTTTTTCAGAAAAATAGGCATAGAAAAGTAATTATATATACTTTTTTTCATAAAAATAATTATATATACTTTTTGTCATTATATTTGCTTGCCCAATTCTTAAATATAGTTTCTGTATGTAATACAGCTTAATGATAAACTTTAGAAACCTTTTCTAATATATGGGAGTTTATATTAGAGAAACTTTATATTAACATAGAGTAGTTAAAAATCTTAATTATAGAAATATATATACACACAAACAGGGGTTGAATTAACTCAAATTTGATTGATCACAAAAAGCTTCCCCACCCTCCTTTTCTTTTGTTTTACTAACCCTCCCCCTGCTTCCCCCTTTATCTTTATCCCTCTTTTTTAATTATTTGATTATGATTATGAAAGTTATATGTTAATTAATTACAAATCATTTAAATCAAAAATTAAAAGGCAAGACCAGTATAAATTTAAAATAAACAACTTTAAAAAAATAAAAATCCGAAATCCTCAGTTGATGTATGCTTACTGCATCTAAGTTTGTTTATTTTTTTCCTTATGTTAATTCACTTGCCTAAGGCCAAGAAGTTCACTACAATCAAGGCTACCTTAATTGTGGTTATAATCCTCTCTCAACTCTATAACTTTAAAATACCAACCTTGATGAACAAGTCCATTGTGCAGCGAAACAAGTTGAAAATAGAATACCAGGGATGTGGTGGGGATAGAATACTTACTTAAAAATGTTCAATTTGTAATAAACAACTATTAAAAGCATTAGCTCATTTAACTTTTCTTAATTTAATTAATTCTTAATCAAAATGATCATGTCATGTGCAAAATCATGTCATTTGTAAAATCATGTCATGTGTAAAATTATGTGTAAAATATCTTTTTTTATCAGGTTGTTCAGTCTCTCATTCGACTGTTAGAAGACAAGAATGGTGAAGTTCAAAATCTTGCAGTAAAATGGTTTGTAAATAATTTGAAGAGATAATTGTAACTTTTTAAATCTTTTTGTAATAAAAAAATTACAAATAAAAATAATGGTAAAAATGTAAATAGAAACGTTTAACAGAAATTCAAAGAGGTAAAAAAAAATAAGGAAAATCTACTTTTATAGGAACTATAAACGTAGATTTTCCTATAAAATAAGCTTTTTTCCAATCTCCCTGAATGCTCTAACTTGCACAATTTTGAAAAATATAAAACGAATGTTATTAATAATGATAAAAATTTTTTGTACCATACATTTTACAAGTAGTATATTTATAGGAAAATGTTTTTGTTTATGAAAAAAATTGCATAAAGAATTAGGGACAAGTTATCAAATACTGTTTAATAAAAATCATGTTTCAGCTTTTTCTAGTTTAACAATTTACACCTGATACATAAATTCAAAAAACAACATTTGCTACATTATTTTCATAAATTTTTATAAGATTAAATCTAAAATTATAATTTTAACACATACATTATTAAAAATGTGCAAAAACTTTAGTTTAGGTCCACTTGTACGGAAGGTAAAGGAACAACAAGTTGAATGGATTGTAGACACACTTTGTTCAAATATGATATCCTCAAAGGAACAGCTTAGAGATATATCAAGCATCGGTAGAGTTTAATTTTTTTGTAATTGTATATTATTCTTATTTTAATATTGATTTTTATTTCTGTATTTTCTTATGATTTTTATTTTTATTTCAATTTTATTTTTCTATAAGCAATACACTTAAACTCAATATTTAAAGTTTAAAAAAAGAAGACTAGAAACACTTTTATCAGTTTCAAAAAATCTTTCTTCAAATTATCAAATTTATAAAGTCGTTTAAGTTGTTATAACCTTCAGCTGATGTATGTACACTTACTGCATCTATGGACTAGATGTGTACATACATCAGCTAAAGATGCAATAAGTTTACATACATCTAGTCATAGGTGCAGTAAAAGTGTAAGTTTTATTGCACCTATAACTAGATGTATGTACACTTAATGCACATTCAGCTGATATATGTACACTTACTGCACCTATGGCTAGTTTAACCATTTGATGTATTTAGACTCCACTGTGTTTATAACTAAGTCAATCAATGTATGTTGAAAAAATGAAAACAAATAAAAAGTAAAATATAGGAGTAAAACAGTGTAAACTAGTACAAGATAAAATAATTAAATAAAAACAAATATATTCTTAATGACAAAAACATTATTTTTAAGTCAATTGTGTTTTTGTAGATTTTTAAAAAACTGTTTAAATGATTATTTAATTAGTATTATTATAATAATTAATTAGATTAAATTATCAATCTGATTAATAACCATTGAAATAATTTAAACAATTATTTCAATGGTTTCTTAATTTATTTGTTGTCTTTATTTACTCAAATTGTCAAAAATAAAAATCAATCAAAGTAGTAAATTTTTTTTTTAATTTTAAAGTAATTTTTATTTTAAGTAAATTTTTTTTAACAACAACAACAACAAAAATATAAATTATTTTTTGAGCAAATAAAATTACTTGAAAAATGTTTTCAATTTATTAGGTGCATGTTTTATTATTAAAATGATTAACTGGCATGTGGCTCTTTTTTATAAACAATAATGTTAAGGGGCCATCCATATATTACGTACACAAAAATTTTGAGATTTGGACCCCTCCCTCTGTTGCACCTTGTACATTTCTATACCCCCCTCGTGCATACATACGCTTGGTGGTCTTACCACCAAGTTTTAATTTTATTTAAAGCAAAACAATTAATAAACTATGTTCATTTAAAAACAAAACAATCATTAAACGTTTTATAAATTCATTAAAAACAAATCAATTATTAAACTATATTTTATAAGTTCATTAAAAATCCAAAGGTAAAAAATTTAATATTGAAAAAATATATTATTTTTCTAACTTCAATAACAACAGCAACAACAATAATATTAATAATAATAATTATATTGTTTATACAATTTTCTTCACTAAGTATTATAATCTTAAATTATTAGATTAACCTAAAATGATAAATAAACTGATAACTAAAAAAAAAATATTTATGCTAAATCAAATGAAATTCTTTTAAAAACAGTCAATACTTTTCTTTACATTTTTGCATTTTAGCTCCTAAGCAATCATTTTTACAAACAAAAATTTGTAGAAGTGGTAATATATTAATCATTGAATTGTTGAAATAAGTGAAAAACTTCTATTTCTTTTAAATTTATTTACTAAAGAATGTATAAAATACTTCAATAAAAATTATTATGTTGAAACTGTTTACTCACATACGCTTATTATAGTGATATTGTTGTGACAAATGTTGCATATAAGTGAGTCCATAGTGAAATATTTTATTAGCATAGTGAAAATTTTTATCAGTAACCTTTTTGATTAAAAAAAAGAAAATATAAATAAACTAATTTTTTTATAATATTTTTTATTAATACTACACTCCCTTTGGAAACAATATTTAGAACTTAAAAGCAAATACAAGTGTAAAAAATCAGAAAACTTTTTCTTGTTGTTGTTGTTGTTATTCACCTCCTCAAGGCGGAGAAGACCACTACAGATGAGGAGGCTACTTAATAGTGGTTATAACCCTCTCTCAACTCTATAACCCCGAAACACGAACCTTGACAAACAAAGCCGCTGCGAGGAGAAACAAGTTGAGCGCAGTACTACCAGAGACGTGGTGGGGATCAAACTTGGAACCTCTCGCTTATGAAGCGAGTGTTTTACCACTACACCACTACCGCATTTTGTTTGATAAACAAAATATGAAAAACAAAACCAAAAACTTTTTCATAAACAAAACAACAAAACTTTTTGAACAAAATATGAAAACAAACCTGAAAAATTCTTTAATGAACAAAATATAAAAACAAACCTGAAAAATTCTTTAATGAACAAAATATAAAAACAAAACTTGAAACAAATATGAAAACAAAACAGAAAACTTTCTTATGAACAAAATATAAAAACATAGCTTATGAAAACAAAACAGAAAACTCTTTATATTCAAAACATAAAAAGAAGAACAAGGGTTCTTGTTTTAAAAAAATATATTTTATAGAAATTTAAATTTAATGTTTAAAATGGTCAAGTAATCTAAGAAATTTTTGATTTTTAAATTTTTAGGATTGAAAACTATCATTAATGAATTGCCAGTTGCTTCATCACCTTTATCTTCAAATATATGCAAAAGAATCACTAGTCGTTTAACAGATGCAATTGGAAAGGTTTAAGATAATTTTTTTGATTGATTCAGAGTATTGTTCATTTTTATATCTGAATTTGTTCTTTGAAATTATAATAAAATGTGTGAACATTTAAATTAGTTTGTGTGTGTGTGTGTGTATATATATATATATATATATATATATATATATATATATATATATATATATATATATATATATATATATATATATATATATATATATATATATATTTATTATTTATTTAATAATAATTTCTTCAGTATTATATAAATTTACAATAAAAAGGTAAATTTAACTTGAAAACTGAAAGGAGATGATACATAATGATTGGTATCTTCCTTATTCCCTAATTTTTACAGTCCATATATTGTCTTGAAAAAATGAAACAAAATTTTACAATCGACATTGTATCAGCACAATCGATATTGTGACATTTTGAAGCCATTTTAATAGCACAAAGGGTTTTTTTCTTGATTTTTTTTGCTCTTAAAAGCAAATTTGTATCTTTCAATTAGCTTCAATTGCAATTTTGTTAATGGCTTGATTCGCCAACACGCAAGTCTTAGAGTTAGGAAGGGCTATTCTTCTATTAACTCTCAAAGATTTATCAATGTTAACCCAGCTAAAAATATAAGTTTAAGATGATGGTGCTAATCCAACAGATATCTTCCATGCTTGGATTCTAATAGCCAATTGATACTCCTGATCTAACAATAACAGATTCCATTTTTTTGGGGTTGGTCTTGTGTGTACCTTGTTGGGACCAATAATCCGCAGAACTTTCTTTAGTAAACATTTAAGTTATTTATTTGTTTAAAACTTTATTTTCAGTTGATTGTTTTCAATAGTTTTATAATCAACAAAAACTAATTAAAATCAACACAATAAACTGTATAAGATAATACAAACAAATATACATATCGTGAATAAAAAATAAATAAAATAAAATAATAATAGCTTACAAAGTAAATAATATAAATGTCAATAAATATAACAAGTTGGTTATTTTTGATGTTAAAATAAAAAATAAAAAAAGCTATTTTTGACAGATTTTACAAAAACAAGATTTTTCGTTCCATTTTAAAATACTTTTTTTGAACATCTTTAGACAATTTATTGACATAGTTTCATTGTCTAGGGAGTTCCATAGCGAGGTAGCTCTATATAAGTTACATTTTATGAACTTATGTTTAGAGACTATGGGTGGGAGTACTAATTTTTTACTACATCGAAGACTTAACGTCAGGGATTTTTTGATAAAAAGATCTAACATAAAATCTGGATTTAAACCATTTATAGATTTAAAAACTTCAGTTAACAAAAACCTTTATTCAAAAAAACCTTTACTTCAGTTAACAAAAACCTTTATTAGATTTAAAAACTTCAGTTAACAAAAACCGTTATTCTATAAATGAATTTAGACAAGAACAGTAGCTCTTGTCCAAATTCATTTTTAGAATAACATTTTAAAGAATCCATTTTCAAAGGAGATCTTTTAAAAGTTACAACAATTTTTCGAACTTTAGCCATAACCTTATAAAGCTCAGGAACAAGATCTGGAGCTTGGTGACTAGTATCATTTTTTTCCTCCTCATTATCACCAATGTCATCATCATCATCATCATCATCATCATCATCATCATCATCATCATCATCATCTTCAATATCTTTGTCCTCTGTACTCTTAGTTCTCTGATTATTACTTTTAACTTTATATTTATAAATTACATCAACTACAGCTAAATGTATTGCATGTGCAAAACAAAGTTGATATTAGGAAGGAGAAATAATTCCTAGTTTTTTCATAACACTAGCACTATCAGTTGTAATGCAGACTACATCCGTTAAAAGACTTATGCTAAACATGTCTAATTTTTTTATGAGTAGTTTAAGGCAATTGTTTGAGTTGTGTGATCCTAACATTCTCTGCAATCCAAGATTAATAAACCCTTTTTTAAAGTGAAGATTTATATTCACAAATCTCCTGCCATGTTTTAAATATTCGCCCAAATCTATACTAAACTTACTGTTTTTTTCTTTTATTTTAAGTATCTTTGTTTTATTTTCTTAGACTATTTCCATATAATATTTATAAATGAAATTCATGACATCTGTTTTTGATTTTGGTAGAGTTTGTGCCCTTTATCACAAAAAAACTCACAAATTTGATCCGATTTAGTTATTGCACTTATAGTAAACCCATCAGTAGTAGCAAAACGAGCCAATCGTTCACCTAATGATACTTTTTTTGTCATAGAATCGATTGTTAGTTGAACACAACATTTTTTATTTGATGTTTTGTCTTCTTTATTTAAAATTATGTTGTGGATTTTTTCTAAATGTCTTTTCAATCCAATAGGTAAACCACTTTTGCATTATAATACCTTTGGACAATGTTTACATTGCGCCTCGTTTGAATTTTTAGAATCAAAATAACTTCAAACTTTAGAAGTTTTTGGAATTAAAGGCATTTTTTTTTATTTCTTATTTACTGTCATAAATTTAAATACGTAAAAATTATAAATAAACATTATTTCTTATGGTCCAGAAAACAAAACACTTTAGATTTTGGCGGGAAAGTTAGAAAATGTATGTTCGAAAATCCCGGTATCCCGGAAAAAATTTCCTGGGACTACGGGAATTTAGATTATTATTTTTCCCGGGAAAGAATTCCCGGGAAGAATCCCTAATCACAATGTTAGTTTTTAACGTCGTAAAATTCTTTTTATTTTTTATTTTGCTTTTTGTATTTATCAAAATTAACTTTCCTGAGCTAGAGCCCAGTTTACTAAAGCAGAGCTATAAATTTACTGAGCAGAGCTATGAGCCCAGTTTACTAAATTACTACAAAATTGTTTAATTGAATAATTAAATCAAAACAGTTTAGAAATGTTATTATGTAATAATGTTATTTCCTCAGAAAAATTCCAAAAGAGCTTCAATCAGAAAGTCATATAATGACATGTGACATCATTAACTTCTATACCAGTATTCCACATAATATCAGGAAGCCCTAATATTCTTGATTAATACATAATATCAGGAAGGAATATATATAATATTCTTGATTAATGGAATATATATAATATAGGAATATATATAATATTCTTGATAAGGAATATATATAATATTCTTGATTAATACATAATATCAGGAAGCCCTAATATTCTTGATTAATAAATATAAAGAATTGATAAATAAAAGGTTTACACCTGAATTTTTAATTGAGTCAGCATCTTTTGTTTTAAATAATAATAGTTTCATATTTGATAAACAGTTATTTCACCAAAAACTAGTACACCAAAAACTGGGTACAGATTTTGCATCCAGAATATGCATGTCTAACTCTTGAATTTTCAGAAGAGACTAAGCTTTTTCCAAAAATCTTACCTCAATACTTTTTTTTATTTTACTATTTGTTTATATTACTATTATTTATACTTGCTTTATATTTAATAAATTCTTAGTTAACTTGTTTTTTTTTTTTTTCAATTGTGAATTAGAATGATGATCAATCAATCCAACTTGAAGCTTTAGATATTCTTGGAGATATATTAAGTCGTTTTGGAGGGCTTCTTGTTTTGTTTCACTCAGCATTATTGAAGAGTATGCTACCTCTACTTACAAATAAGAGAATGGCTATCCGAAAAAGAGCTATTGTTACTCTTTGTGAGTATATGATTTTGCTTATTTCATATTTAGTATTATTTTATGTTACATATCTTATATATACATATGCACGTATGTGTATGCATGTATGCATGTATGTATGTATGTATGTATGTATGTATGTATGTATGTATGTATGTATGTATGTATGTATGTATGTATGTATGTATGTATGCATGTATGTATGTGTGTGTGTATTAGGGTGGTTCATAAAACAACACTTTTTGAAAATGTCTGATGATACCCCTTAAATGTGTTCTATGTAATAAATTAATATTAAATTTTAAAAATTTTAATAAAAAAATTTTTTAGGGTTCACTGAAGACCCTTAAACATCAGTCTGTAATATTTTGAAAAAAAAAAAAAAATCATTTTATATAAAGATTACTAGTTTAAATTTTATGGGTTAACTGTAGTTTTTTAACAAAAAATTATTTTAGTGAAAAAAACAATATTTGCTGTAAAAATGTAAAAAATAAATAAATAAAAAAGGTCCTCAATTTTTAATTTGGGCAGCGCCCAAATATGGTCGGCACTATTGAAAATGTTCTAGAATAGCCCCTGAGATATATATATATATATATATATATATATATATATATATATATATATATATATATATATATATATATATATATATATATATATTTATATCCTCTAATTTTAGTTAATATGAGATTTATTTTCAAATTTACTTATCTAGATGAAATGAATTTTTATTTTTTTATTCAATTTAATAATTGCAAAATTTTCAATAAAGTGGTAAAAATAATTTTTCATTATTCTATTTTCATTATTCAATATTTTATTATTCAATTTACATTTTTAATGCAAATTTTTTGAGTAAATAAACTTTTTCAGTATGCAATTTTTAAGATTAAAATATTAGCAAAAGTTATTATTTTTTGCAATATGTTATTCAACTGCAATATGTTTTTTTGTAATAAAGATGTTTAGGTAGAGAGCTTTAATTACTTTTAAACCTATTCTATGCTATTGAACTCAATTATTTGTAATATATATATATATATATATATATATATATATATATATATATATATATATATATATATATATATATATATATATATATATATTGCTTTTTTAGAATGCATTTCAAACCTGTCTAGACAAGTGTATTTGTATCTAGACATGTGATTTACGGTAGCCGCTTCTTCAATATGCATATTTACGTTAATTATCGCGAATTAACTTTACGTTTGAACAATGTGTGACGTATAACAATGTGGCATAATAACTAAAAAAAGTTTTGTTTTTTATTTAATTTAAAAAGAAAAAAGCAAAGGTAGTTTTTGGAGTTAATGAAAGTTTTTTTTATTTGGTATAGTTTTACTAAAAATAAATAACCATACTTGTGAATATAGTTTTCCAAACAATCTCTGCTTTTATTTCCGCACTAAAATGATAATTAAAAAAGCAATAATAATAGACAGGAAAAAAAAAGCTAAAGAAATAAATAACTAAAATAAATAGTTATTATTAATAAAAAATAATTACAGCAAAAAAAAAAAAAAAGAAAAATCAAGTTTATTATGAACAACATAAAAATTACGAAATAATCATAAAAAATAGGTATTAGGATTAATTAGAGTTTATTAACGTAAGGTTAGTTCAAAAATATATTAACGTAGGATTAGTTCTAAATTAAATAAGTTGATCTCACTTGCTTCAAAAATAGCTCGCAACATAAATTTGTGATATATATATATATATATATATATATATATATATATATATATATATATATATATATATATATATATATATATATATATATATATATATATATATATATATATATATATATATATATATATATATATATATATATATATTGTTAAAGGTGCTGGAACTCATTTGTATTTGCCTTTATATATCAAAAAATGAGGCAGAATTTAGCTACTGTTTGCATTTTTTTAATCTATAATTAGGAAATGCAAACTTTATAACTATAAACTGACTTCTATAACTATATCTCCCAAACTTCTATAACTGTGGAAACTCTAATAACAACTCCCAGAGTTTTTCAATTTTTATCAGACAAATCATTTTGTCTCCTTTCTTTGATATTAGTGTCTAATGCTGAATATCTTTGTTGAACTAACTACAAATCAACATAATTTGAAGTATAAAAGTGTGTGACTAAAATATAAAATTAGTAGTTTGAATAATTTGATAAATAAGAGTGATGAAACTGTTTTGGTAATTATGGCTCTTGTTTGAGGTGATGACCTGTTAAAATCCTTGTTTGCATTTACTTAAAGAAATTCTTTTCAGGAAATGTTTTTTTCACGAATCCATGAATCATTTCTTTTTTATTTAATTGTAGTCTTATTGACAAGTTTCTCCAAATATCAACTGAGTGTTGATGTTTTCTGGCCTATGTTTTTGGTCTATCACAAAAGTCCAATAAAATTCAACATCATGTCAGCAAGCAAACTTTAATGCAACAACAACATCAAAATCACAATGAAAATAAGATGTGGAAATTCTGGTACATATAGGATAAATAAAAGCGTTGATTATTTTAATATTTAAATTTCAACACCTGTCTAAATATCAAAAAAATCTAAAAAAAAAACTAGATATAGTTTTATGTAATTTTGACTGTTTAAAATTTTTAGTTTTTGAATTAGTATGTCTACACCACTGGTACAATATGCATTAAAAGTTCTACACCACTGATACCCACTTTGTGGCCAAAGTATTCATGGTGCAATTTTTTTAAATTTGTTTTAATATTTTAGCACATTTGATGATAACTGCAAATTCCACCGTATTCATTGACTTGATGTTACATTTAATTAGTGAACTTCAAACCAAAAATAACCAAGTCGATGTTAGAACTTATATTCATTGTATTGGATCTATCTGGTAATTTGTTTTCTGTTACCTTTTTATTTGTTTAGATTTACTTTAATTTTAATATATAGTCTAAGTTACTTCTATTAAATATTACTATTTTTATATTCATATTTTACCAAAAACTGGTAGTTATAAAAATTTAACTTACATCAAAAGATTAAAGAAAGGACCTATGATTGTTTTTTTTTTTGTTTTTTTCCTAATTGGGAGAAGATATGGAATGTCTTGTATTAGGGAAAGATGAGCTTAAAGTTGCAAAATGTGGAAACTAAATTCAATCTGCAAAAGTTATAATCAACTTTAGTACTAAGTTGAAAGCAATTTTTTTTCAAGTAGCAAGCCTTCCCAGGAAAGGTGTGTGGTTTTTCGTCTCGTATGACCACATGCGATTATATTATTGTAGAAAACGTGCACACGTCCGTTTGCAAGTTTTATAATAATGCTGAAAAAGTTTGAAAAAGAAAAACAAAAAAACAAAACTAACAAAATAAAAAGAGATTGAAATAGAAAAAAAATAAAAACAAATTAATGATTTAAATAATTTGTGTACAGTTTTTATTTTTTGTTTCTTTAGAGTTACAATCAGCAACAAAATTAGATAAGGCGAAGCAAAAAAAAAAACAGTTTGAAGTCTACAATAAAAAGAATGATTTTCCTTTTCTTAATTTTTTTTAAGAGGATAGCAAAAATACAAATTGCAATGTGTTTGTAAAATTTATTTGTGTAATTTTAATGTAACAACAAGGGTTGAATTAAGCGAATGCAAAACGCAAAATCTGGAAAAATATCTAGTATTCAAAATTTTAGTTTATACAAAACCGTGTTCCTTGTTTTTAAGGGGAGAATCAACTTAAATTTGTTAGTGAAAAAATAAAACAATAAACTTATGATTACAAAAGTAATAACACTCTAGTCACTAACTGCATTACAAAAGTAATAACACTCTAGTCACTAACTGCATTACAAAAGTAATAACACTCTAGTCACTAACTGCATTACAAAAGTAATAACACTATAATAGTGTTATTACTTTTAAAACGCACTTATAACTTTTAAAATTCATTCTTTGTTCAAGCAACATTAGTATTCCCAAATTTTAATTGAAGTAGAAAAATATCTAAAAGAATAAAGTGGATGTTCAAATAATATTAAAACTAAAGTAACTTATAAAAACGTGACAAACAACTTTATGAAAACGTATCGTATTAAAAGATTAGCATTATGAAAAACTTTACTAATGGACCATAAAAACGCGCATTAATTTTTAAATTAAATAATAAAAAAATTTTATTGGTTGATTTTAAAATTAATGCGCGTTTTTACGTAACGTTTTTCATTATGCTATACTTTTTATAAAGTAATTTTTTATAACGTTGTTTAAGTGATATGTAAAAGTTCCTGAAATTTTTAATAATATTTGAATATCCGCTTTATTTTTTCTAGATGCTTTTCTACTTTGATAAATGTTTGGAATTAATAATGTTGTTTGAAAAAAAAATTAATTTTAAAAGTAATAATTGCTTTATAAATATAATAACACTATTATAGTTTTATTACTTTTATAATGCAGTTAGTGACTAAAGTGTTATTACTTTTGTAGTTGTAAGTTTATTGTTTTTGTTTTGTTTTTTGTAATTTTCTCACTAGCAAACTTTTAATAATTTGCTCCTTATAAACAAAGTACACAGCTTTGCATGAACTAAAATTTTAAAGACCTAATATTTTACCAGAGTTTGCAAATCTTGATCGTATAATTTAACTCTTGATATAAACTTTTTACATTATAATTATACAAATTTATTTTAGAAACAGATGACGGATACATATTTTCTCTTTCCTCTTTAAAAGAAAAAACACATAAAATATGGGAAAGTCATCCTTTTTAACGCCTAAAACCGTTTTTTTTTTTTTTTTTTTTTTTTTTTTTTTTTTTTTTTTTTGCTTTGGCTTAATAAATTTTGTTGCTGATAATAATAACCACTAAGAAAAAACAAAAATAAAAACAACACACAAATTATTTAAACTATTATTATTGTTTTCTATTTAAGTCTACTTTAATTTCTTATGTAGTTATTAAATTTAAAACAATTTTTCAGTAACGCATATTAATATAACTTGCGCAAACGGCCGTGATCACGTTCTCTAACTTGAAATACGTTTTTGTGGTCATACGAGACTAAAAACCGCACGCCTTTCCTGGGAAGGCTTGAGTAGTGTTTCTCATTTTTTTGATAAAAACCATCTTGAGAACTTTTTTTAACTTTAAAAATTTTAAAAGTTTTTTAAAGTTTTTAAAGTTAAAAAAAAAAACATGTATTAAAAAAAACCCAAATTATAACAAGTTATTGTATAGTATTGTTTAATTTATAAAAGGTTATGTTAAGCTACCATTAATTTTAGTTTCCTTGTTATGTATGAGACAAATATTTTTAATAATTTATGATTTCAGCTTTGTTTTAAAGCATAAAATGGTGCGCCATTTACATATGCATTAAGCAATTTAACGTAAGCAGTAAATCATTTCACGTAAGCAGTAAACCATTTCACGTTAGCCACTTTCTATCATTTTATATTATTTAAACCAGTCTAAAGATATTGTTTAAGAGGTGATGTGCACAGCAATTATATTTGATATTCACGCTATTTATAAATGTAAAAAGGTAAAGAAAATTTTAGTTTTATTAACCTAACTTTTCTATCAAAATGATCAGCAAAAAAAAAAAAATGACATATGGTACGTTAAAAAAAGAAATCATAAAAGAAACATAAAAAAACCTTTATTTATTATGTTGCAAGTGGAAGAATACTTATTTAGACAATTTCTCATAACAAACAATAAAATTATTACCAAATTGAAAAAAAAACTTTTGATATTTTAATTTTTTTATTGTTTGTTTATTTTATTATAATAATTAATTTTATCAAAAAAGAATGAAAAAATTTAATTATTACAAACTTTAAATGACATCTTATAAATAGTTTATTTTTTATAATTAAAAAAAAAATGTTTTATGAGTATAATTATATTATTAATTTTTCAAAATATTATTTTGAGAGAGTTTAGATTTTATTATCAAGAATAAATAAACTTGATAAAGTTATCAAGTATAAATATATTTAACAATTGAGTAAAATATAATTTCAACATTCTTGATATATTGTATTAAAAAATTAATAACAGAGTTATATCTATAGAAGGAGATTTTTTAATTAATTATTGCAAGTATTTATGCTTGAAGCAATATAGCTCTTGCAATGTCTTTGTTTATATTTATAAGTTTTAATTTGTGAAAAATAATAGTTTAGAAAAATAATATTTTATAGTAATTACATCAGCTTTATATAATTAACAGATTGTGCGATATCAAAAAAGTGAAAACAGAAATTTTCTTATAATTTAGAAAAAGTTTTGATTAAAAAAGTTATTTAAATTTAAAAAAATCAGATTATTTTTTTATCTTGGTTTTTCTTCCTCTGCTATTTTTTACAAAAAATTAAACTCCTTGTAAACATGTTACAACTTATAACACTGCATCAAAAATGTTCATAAACTGTGCAATTAATTTTTTTGTCATTAGGCAAGTAAAAGCACAATTTATTTAAAAGCACATATTATTTTTTTAGGCAAGTAAAAGCACATATTATTTTTTTTTTTTGCATTTATTATAAAAAATATATAATATTTTTTATAATAAATGCAAAAAAAAAAATAATAATAATAAGCGCTGGTACACAGTGGTCAGAAATGCTTGAAATTGCAAATTAATTGTGTTTCCTTTCCAAAACATTTAAAATTGGTAATAATATAAAAAATTAAGCATGAAACATTTTAAATAAATAAATTATCACAATATAGTGAAAAAAACATCATTATTACAATATAGTGAGAAAAAAAATGATTAATTACATTAAGTTGTAACCATTTCCACAAGAATTTCATGAAGTTTAAGTTCAATTCATTTCATTTTTTACACTTTAGATAACTTGAAAATTTTTTTTTAATTGGAATAACAATGAAAACATATTTATCACACGAAAAATTTAGAAAAATAATGAATTTTAATAAGTTGTTTTCATTTTCACAAGAATTTTATACTATTTTTAAATTAAAAATAATTTCGAATGTCCAACAACTTAATCTGAATCACTATCATTGCGAAAGCCTTGTGACTAGTGTGGTTGGTTCAGAACACTCAAGTAAAGAAACAATCCTTGCTGGCAGTTTTCTCTTCTTTTTGAATCTTTGGTGTTTTCCAACACATGACCCTTGAACCTTTGGATCACTCAAATCTGTGAGCCTGTGGAACATATCAGCCATGCCATGAGTCCATGAAGACTTTCTTGTATGATACATTCTGAAGTTTCTCAAAAACTTATTGTTGGCTTCAGATTTTTCTTCACTTATGAGTCCAGTTGGAAGAGGGCAATTGTCAATAAGATCCTTGCTATGTTTGAAAATTTTGTGAAGTGTTGGAGGTAGAAAATACCAATCACAGCCATTCTCTTCATCAAAATAAATTTCTTCAGTTTCCTTGCAAAGTTCAGCAAACTTTGTTGAATTGATGGCAAATCCACTTGATAGTGTTCCCTAGATTGTGACAATGTTCTCAACAAGTTTAACTGGAATTTTACTTTAAATTTGCAGCGCAATTTAGGATGCGGGGCAAATTTAGGCAATGCCATGGCAATGGGATGCCAGCTGAATGAATTGATTTAACTTTGAAAGGAGGACATAGGGGGATATGATTTTAAGCAGAAATGGTTAAGTGATTCTTAATAATACTTTAAAGTTTGAATAGAATTGGACAGAGTTGGACAAAGACCAGAAATTTAATTTTTCTAATCTTTTAAAATAAAATATGGTCAATTTTCGAAAATGATCAAGCATCCTTAACTTTCTGTGAGTTTCAAGTTAATCCCTTTACACTGAGTTTCATTTTAGATTAATCTTACTGCAAAATTTTCCAAATTTGTAAAACTGGATATAATATATTAAAAAATTTAGCCCTAAACAGTAAAAATATTAAGACATTTTTCAGTTTCAATAATTTGATTTTTAACCCTTGCTCCTTGAATGGGATGAAATACAAAAATTCAGTGCACTAGAGCAAAAATATTTCAAGTGTACTTTCTTGAAGGTTTGAAGAATTATTTGGCATAAAATTTAGTTAGTTTTTAAAAATTAGTATTTTTGAATTATTTCGCATTTTCAAGCCTTCCTGACCACTGTGTGGTATAGTAATTTACTTTATTATTATTATTATTTATTTTTTTTTGCAACAAGTAATATTTTTTGTTTGTTAATAACTTTTTAAAAGTAAAAAATCATTATTTGCAAAGCCACAGTTTTAAGAGATAATGAAAAAAAAAATCAACTTATTTATACAAATGTTAAGAAAAGAAAGAAATTAGTTTATGTTAAATGATAATAAAAAATGTTATATTAAATTTAATTATTTAATATTAAAAAATAAAACAAAAAAAAATGAAACAAAATAGACATTCCACAATACGTACATTTACAAAATAACACTTCAAGATTTGCTTTTCTTAATTAGTAAAATAAACTTGTTTTAAGGTAGTTTAGGTAGGTAGGGTAAAGGTAGGGTAGTTTTTTTATTTTTTTTTAAGGTTTATTTTATTGTAGTAGTTAAAAAAGTTAATGTTCTTAAATAAAATAAATAATAAAGATAATTTTAAGACGCTAATGTGCTAAACCGTTTTTATTTAAAACATAGGATATGGTTTTATTTACTGGGATATTTTTATTTAGGATATTTATTACTTTCTTTATTACTTTCAATTATATTGATAATATTGCTAAAATTATAACTAGCCGTCAATCTGGTCATCGAGTTGGAGATCATTTAGATCGTGTAATACCTATGATAATTTCTTTCTTTTCTGATGGAGACGATGAACTTCGAGAAACATGTATTCAGGTATTTATTGACTTTCATTTTTAATTGTAATAATGTAATAGAAATGTACCATATTGGAAAAAGAAAACAGGGATTATCTTTTTCTGGATATTTTTCCGGAAAAACTAAAAGTTTCCGGAAAAACTAAAAGTTGAGAAAAATATCCGGAATTCCGGATATTTTTCTCATTTTTTAGTTTTTCCGGATATCCAAAATGTTTTCCATACATACAAGTTTAGGTATATATTTTTGTAATATATTTGTTTTTTAAGCTTTTTTACTCATTGCTCATACAAGAATTAATAAAATTAAAAAAAAAAAAAATGGAAACAACTCAGCTAAAATCAAAATCAAGGGAAGTATAAGGGAAAATGTATTCCGGATTTTTTCCGGATATTTTACCGAAACAATTTCCAGTTTTTAAAATACAACCAGGATGATCTATGAAAAAAAGAAAGTTTTTTTAGTTTTACTTTTTTAGTCTAAAAAATCTAAATTTTTTAAATCATTTTTATCAAAAATCATAAACATTTATTAGAATAATACTAACACACACACACACGCGCGCGCGTATTTTTTGAATACATGTATTTAAAAGAAAATCTTTTATTTGTTAGACACTTGAATCTTTTGTTTGTAAATGTCCTAAAGAAGTAACACCATATGTTGGCAAAGTAGGTTTTTTTCAAAAAGAATTTGTTTTGTATGCAATGAACTTTTTTTTTTATTAAATTTTTTTTTTTCTTATGGCTTTTTTATTTTTTAATATTTTAAAAATCTTACATGTAAAAAATGCCAGCATTTTCTGCTAAATATTCATTTAGTTTTATTTCAATTAAAAGTAAAGACTTTTTCATAGATAACTGATCTTTGTTTGGAATATCTTTGCTATGATCCAAACTACAATTATGGTGAAGATATCAATGATGGCTGCTCTCTTGATACAAATGATGATGAGGATTTTGATAATGAGTAAATCTTTTTTAAATAAGACATAATATTGAATAAAAATTATATATTAATACTAACTTATTCTGATTTAATAGAGACGAAGATGAATACAGTGATGATGATGATATGAGCTGGAAGGTTTGTTTTTTGTTGTTTCTTATATTTTTGTCATAATAAAGATATATAAGATTTTTTTTTTTTTTTAGATAAGAAGAGCTGCAGCCAAGTGTCTTGGATCAATCATGAGTTCACGTCATGAGCTTTTAAATGATTTTTACACGTGGATTTCTCCTCGGTTAATTTCAAGATTTAAAGGTTTTACTTTTTAATTTATATTTTCTAGAATTTGTTGTTAAAGTATGTTGATAGAATTGTTCCCACGTATAATTTTATAATTTTTAAATTGCACATATAACATTGTTTAAATATGTTAGTTACGTTGTTTAAGTATGTTAGTTACGTTGTTTAATTATGTTAGTTACATTGTTTAAGTATGTTAGTTACATTTTTTAATTATGTTAGTTAAGTTGTTTAATTATGTTAGTTACATTGTTTAAGTATGTTAGTTACGTTGTTTAAGTTATGTTGTTTAATTATGCTTAGTTATGCTAGTTAGTATGTTAATTATGCTAATTTAATAATTTACTTAATTACTAAATATAGTTTATTTAATTATTTCTATTCAAAGTGTAGAAAATATATAAAACTAAACAAAATATTAAAATTTATTTTTTGTAGATTTATATGCAGCTTTTTTTATATGATAAAGGTTTTGCAGTATTATGTTCTTTTTTATAATAAAGGTTTTGCGTTATTATGTTCTTTTACTAAAAATATTTGTAACACACTTCACACATTGTAAATTTTTTTTTTTTTAAACATCTTCGCTTCCAACAAGGCTGCAAGCAACCACTAATTAGTGTTGGAAGTTACTGGAAGAGAAAAGATGAAGATTGTAGAGCAAGATAACGATTGGCAGACGACTTAAAAGATTGCAAATTATATGAATCAGGAAAGCAAGATAAAGGAAGCGAATTCCAAAGAACTGATGTTCGAGGAAAAAAACTAGACGAATAAGAGTTTTTGGAGCACTTAGGAACAGTAACAGAAAAAGGATGAGACTTAATTGAATGGCGAGTAACACAAAAATGAATTTTAGTAGATGGCACAAGAGACGATAGCTCTTTAGAGCAGTGCCCATTATAGTATTTGTAGAAAAAAGAAAGAGAAGCAACATTACGACGATGTGACAGAGGTTGAAGGTTGGCTGCAAGAGCAGGTCCAACTATGTTTACAATGCGTTTTTGCACCTTGTCTAATAGAGAAAGGGCATCATTAGAAGATCCACCCCAGATATGGCAACAGTATTTCATACAAGGCCGGATTTGAGATTTATAGAGATAGAGAATAGAATCCAGAGTAAGAAAGTGACGAGCTCGATAAAGAGAAGCAACTTTAGCAGATGCTAATTTTGCAACGGATTTGATATAAGGTTTCCAAGAAAGATAAGAAGTAAGAGTTAATCCTAGAAGATGAAGAGTAGGAGACTCATCGAGTACATTACCGTTCATAAATATAGGAAGGTCTAAATTATTGCAATAACGATTGGCTGAAAAAAATTGAGTTTTATCTGAATTAAAGTTCACCAGCCACTGTGAGCCCCATGCTGTAGCAGAAGTAAGATCCTTTTCAAGCTCAGATGCCCCCTCCAAGCAATCAGAGGGAGTTGGCTTCTTATCGTGACAAGAATAAATGGTAGTATCATCAGCGAACAATGCCACCTTAGATGTGAGAATATCTGGAAGATCGTTAATGTAAATTAAAAAGAGTATAGGGCCAAGGATTGAACCTTGAGGAACCCCTGAGGAACCCCTGAGGTTACAGAATAAGAAGAAGAGTGCTGTCCATCAAGGACAACTTTTATACTACGATTGGAAAGAAAGGATTCAATAATCTTAAAGATGTTTCCAGATACACCGTAAGAAGAAAGCTTATGGAGAAGACCAGCATGCCAAACTTTATCAAACGCTTTAGAAATGTCAAGAGCGATGGCCTTAACCTCTCCACCTTTATCTAATGCGCGATAAAACCTATCGGTTATTACTGATAGCAAATCAGCCGTAGAACGAGAAGATCGAAATCCATATTGATGATCAGAAAGTAGGTTGTGAGATTCGAGATGAGAGATTAAGTGTTTGTTAATTAATGATTAAAAAACCTTGCTTATGATAGGAAGAAGACTAATGGGACAGTAGTTAGACGAATCGGATCGCTCTCCAGAATTTTTAAAAATAGGGATAACTGATGCTGGTTTCCAGCAGGCTGGAAAACAAGACTTTGATAAGCATTTGTTAAATAGTTTTGGATGGATAGACGACAGCTCCGGAGAACACTTTTGGAAGACTATAACAGGTATGTTGTCCAGGCCGCAAGCTGTAGAAGAGTCTAAGCAGGAAATCACTTTAGATACAGAAACTGGAGTGATACGGATGTCAAGCAGTGGATCAACCTGTTTGACGGCTATATCAGGTAGAACGCAACTAGTGGAATCAAGAGATGATATTGATGAAAAGTTTTTGGCAAACAATTCAGCTTTGTCTTTAGGTGAGGTGACAAAGTCTGAACTGTACAAAAGAGGTGGAATTACAGACTTGCCCTTATTATTTATACTATTAAAACTTCTCCAGAAGTCACGAGAGCCTAATTTTTGTGATGAAATACGAGATTTCATGATCTGAGAATAGCGGGCTTTGGCGTTAGACAAAACCTTTTTACAATGGTTTCTAGCAGTAATAAACAGATGTCTGTTTTCTGGAGAATTGTTTTGCTGATAGATATGGAAGTAATGGTTTTGATTGGCAATTGCAGCAGCACAATATGAGGAAAACCATGGAGAAGAGTGAGGCTTGACCTGGAATCAACGAGAGGGAATAAAGAATTCCATGCCAGCCTGAATCCACGAAGTTATGTAAGAAGCGCATTTCTCAACAGGAAGACAAAAGATTTCTACCCAGGGGCCATCACGAAGAAAATCACGGAAAGAGTCCCAGTCAGCTTTAAGGTAGTTGTAAGATGTACAATGATAGGGGGATTCTGATGGTAAAGAAGAATAAGATAATAGTTTTAAAGAGACCAAACCATGATCAGAAGCACCTAAGGGTGAGTGTGGAGAAACTGAGCACTGACTAGGATTAGAAACAAGACATAAGAGTAGAGAAGGTAAATGATTCGGGTTGTCTGGAAAGCGAGTTGGAAAGTTGATTATTTGAGTTAGGGATTGAGAAAGGCAAAAGTTGTGGGCCTTAATGCCTGCAGAGTTACTGTAACTAGAGCCGAGCCATTCAGTGTGATGAACATTAAAGTCACTGACAACAACAATATTGGCTGATGGATAAAGAATGAGGGCTTGGTCAATATAATCAAAAATAACATAGAGAAGAGTGCAGTCTTGAGATGAAGGAGAGCGATATAGAACAAAGAAAAAGGTGATAGAGTGAAGTGGTGCTAAACGAAAGCACATAAAAGTGTAGTCTGTGGATTCAAACCTAGTTTCCTGACAAATGGGTGAATTTTTACGAATGTAAATGCCTAGGCCAAGCATGTGACTATTGGAGTCTTTACCAATTAAAGGAAGATAACCATCAACACTAAAATCACAAGATGAGACAGCTGAACTCAAATTAATCTCATAAAGAGCAAGTAGGTCTGGTGAACTTTGCAAGAGATAAGACTCAACAGAAGAAAAGTTACTTCGAAGACCACGAATATTGGTGAATGATAGGTTTAGCGAACTTGGTGATGACTGTGGTTTTTTGTGTTTTATAGTTTTTGTTACTTTATTCATTTTTAAATTTGTTAAAGAACTTGACTCGAAACATAAATAGTACTCAGTACACTGTTTTATAGCCCAAGCAATTGCCTCGTTTCCACTAATAAACCCTAAGCCGTAACAAAGGGCTCCAATGTGGCCTTGGCAATGCACACCAAAAGTACAAACAGGGACACCATCCATGCGCAACATGGCACTGTTAGTACTCTGATATTTTTCAGCTGTTGATGGAATCAGCCTCTCTGAGAGCTACCACAGAGTTCAGGAAACCGGACTACCAGCCAGCCTCAGAACCATAAAACTAAGTTTTAGAGTTGTTCTTGCATTTGGATATAATAGAATGAGTTGCCTAGTCATAAAAACAGAGACACAAGCAAAACCCATGCATTGAGTCAAGAAGGTTCAGCGTTCAACATCCTAAACTGGAAACAATGTATTAAAAATACATCTGCGCCAGCCTAATAGATGGAGAAGGGGAATATAAATAATAAAAGTTTCAGAGATCACCATATAATAAAAGAGATCACAAAATAATAATAAAAAATAATAAAAGTTTCAAAGTTCACCAAAAACAACATTTTGTTTTAGGACATTTCCCTAGCAAAAATTATTTTTTGTTTATTATCAATGTTTATAAAAAAAAATCACAGTTGCAAATAATGATTTGACTTAATTTGCTTTTTTAGTAATTTTAAATAATGCTTCTAACATCATTAAGAACTCTAATGTTTTTTAAAGTATAGTACAAATTTATTTGGAAGCATTATAAAACATACATTATAAAACTTTTAGCATTATAAAAGAAAATAATTTGAAAAGTTCTGAATTATTTCTTCTATTGTTTGCTGTTAAATGAAACCAGTTAATTAAGTAATAAATACTTAAAATAAAAAAATTTTATTAGTCAATTTTTTGAAAAGTGTTTTTAATCTTTAAATTTATTTTATTTTTAATTAGTTGTTTTACACTGTGTAAAATAAACTGAACTTATTTTTATATAAAAAATTTATGTATAGAAAGAGAAGAAAATGTGAAAGCAGACATCTTTCAAACGTACATCTCTCTTCTTCGTCAAACGCGTACAATGGCATTAGGAGATAAAACAAAAGAAATCAATGATGGGTACAAAAAAATGTTTATCCTATTATATCTGGTTATTTTGTCTTTAATGTTTTTGTTTAAAAATACAGTTTAGACACACTGACAGTTTAGGCACTCTGACAGCTGGTTAATTTTCGTATCTTGATGTTTAAGTATTGTTTTATATGTCATCAGGGAGTTTCATGTTTCAGTTAGACATCAGGGAGTTGCATGTTTCGTGTTAGACATTTAGAAGCTTTGTGATTTTTTGGCAAATCTGTTTAAGTATTTTAAATCGTATATGTATTCTAGTTCTGTGTAATTGCAAACCATTTTTTTTTTGTTTTTAAAATGCTAAATTAATTGAATTTGAAGCAACAAATTAGTGTATTTTTTTATGTTTGTTTGAATTGTTTTAAAATCAATATTTCCCATATTATGTAGTTAATCATTTTCAAAATAGTTGCCAAATAAATTAGGTTTTGTTTATATAAATTTGAGCTCAAACAAATCTATATAAACAAATACATATATAAAGAAATATATAGCTAACACTGTTGTACGCTTTATATGTCATGCTGTAATTGTTATAATGCATAAGCTCATTTTGAATTAAATTTTTTAAGCAGTACATCAGGGAAAGGACAAGGCGTGCAATTACACTCCAATCTTGACCACTGATGTCATTGTTTTGTTTTAAAGCTTGACCACGGCTCTTTAGATAACTAAAAGCATGTTAAAAAAACCAACAGATTTTAAATATTATAAACAGGCTAAACTATAAAAAAAAAATCTTAACAAAAGATATTTAAAAAAAAAAAATTAAAACCAATAGCTGTAAAAAAAAATCAACTCAAAAATCTGAAAAACTAAAATTTTAAATGAAAATTATTTCAATTTTTTGTAATTATGTTAATTATGTTATTTCAATTAGGTTTTGTAATTATGTTAAGGTTGAATCATTATCAATCCAACACTCATCGTGTTGGATTGATAGATTCAAACTGATTTTTTTTTTTATATATGAGGAGAATAGCAAATAAATTTTTTTTTCTTTTTTTTTTAATGTCTAAATACAAATTTTTATATGATTTTTTTTCTTTTAAATGTATTTTTATATATCAATCAAAAAAAGAATACATAAACAAACAAAAAAAAATAACAAAATAAATAATTTTAATTAAACATTTGAAAAAATTAAAAGATTTTTTTTTTAATTAATACAAAAAATTTCACTTATAACCTTTTAAACCAACGCAACAAACTATAAAACTTTGATCTTTTCTAATGTTTTCATTATGTTTTCAAGGCAAACTTTTTTAAATTAAAAAAACTTACATATAATTATCATTTAATAAAAAACTAACTTTATTTAAATTATCAAAGTATTTTTGAAAATTTTTTTATTAAAATGCATTTATTGTTGTTGTTGTTTACAAAATTAAGTATACAAATTGTTTTAAAAAAATTACATTTATCATTAAAAAAAAAATACTTTTGAAATAAATAAAAGTGTTATTTAATATTCTATGATAATTTATTTAATAGCATTTTAAAACTTTATTTAAAAGTAGTGTAAACAAATTTCATAACAGAAAAAATAACTTTGTTATGTTTTTCGACTATTAATTTATGGATTCATCAAAAAGTTTATTAAAACAATTATTTTCATTGATGTTTCAAAAATTAATTGTAGAAATTGTTTTAAAAACATTTACATTCATCCTATAAAAAATGCACTTTTGAACAATATAATATCTTTTGATAATTTAAATAAGTTTCTATTATAGTATACAATCTTTAAAAGCAATTTCTTGCTTTATTACCTTATACTTAATTTTGAGCATTTTAACATTTTTAAAAATTTAAAAAGCTGTGATTAAGTTGTCGCAAAAAATAAATAAATGCGAGGTCAGGAATAGAGTGCAATCGCACGCCTTTCCTGTCTACAACTGAAACAGTGTCAAAAGTAGTATACACAATTGGTGCATAGCACAGTAATTTCTATTATTTATGTTCATAGCTTTTAACCTTTCTTTAAATGCAGGGATCCAAAGTCCCAAAAGGACTTTATATCTCTGTTTTTTACTGGTCACTTGTACCCAGGAGCTCAATACGTTTCAATGACTTGGAACATATTGTTTTTAAGCCTGGAGTCCCGGAGTCCTAAAGTCCTTGCCACCATTATACCTAAGGACTGGAGTCTTTAGGTATAATGGTTCAAAAATTGATTGTTCCTCTAACCTAAAAGTCTTTTTTTTGTTTTCATCAAAAGTAGTTTATAAACTTCTTTACATTTATTGAGAGCCTGGAATATCAAATACAAGAAAGAAATAATCTTTTTGTGATTTTCAAATCCACATCAGATTTTTTTGATACTTTAAAACCATAAAAAGAGTTCCATTGTGTGTTTTTTTATGTGTGTCTGTCTGCAGTACAAATTGTATGGTTAAAAAATTTATGCTCCATATGTACTTGTTATTTAAACAGACCTCTGAAACTGTTAAGCGAGCAAGTTCCTACACTAATAAGATGCATTTATAAGCAACTTCAAGAAAAAAGTGTGAAAACAAGGCAAGGGTGTTTTGAGTTGTTGACAGAATTAGTTACTGTATTGCCTGGAGCATTATCAAATCATATCGAGCTGATAGTTCCTGGTATTGCTTTTTCGTTAAAGTAAGTTTTTTTGTTTGTTTTTTGAATAATTTTTGTTTGGAGTAATATTTTATATGTTTTTTTGTTTTTTGGGGTTTTTAATATATTGTTATTAAAAACAAATCATTGTGTGTAATAATTAATATATGCTTTAAATTTAAATAAAATTTTAAAAACTATATTTTTATATATTTTTTTGTTTTGTTATGTTTTAATGCTTTTGGTCATATGAAAGTAATTTTGATAATTAATTTAAAAGTTTGTTATGAATGAGTTTTTGTTGAATCATTATTATGTAATAATTTGTGTTTTTTATAATAGTTACGTTTTTACCATACTTCCATTACATTTTTTGAAAGATTTTTTATTTTTTCTATAATATTTTTTAGTGACAAAAATTCAACATCAAACATGAAAATTGATACGCTGGCATTTTTAGGATTCATATTAACAAAGCACGAACCACATATTTTTTTCCCTCATATTTCAAAGCTGTTGCCTGTAAGTTTTTTTTTTTTTTTTCATAGTTTCTAATTTTTTGGTTCTCTGTTTTCCTGATTAATAATTTTTTTATTTAAAAAATTTAAAGCAGTGGCAATAATATTAAATGAAATGAAATTATTCAATTAGATTTGTTAATAATATTATTTGTTAATTTTTCAGGCAGTTATTGTTTCAATTAAAGACCCTTTTTATAAAATTGCTTCTGAAGCATTGATTGTTGCACAAAATGCTGTGGCTGTAATGTGCTTGCTTGGTAAATGTTTTACTTTATATATTTATATGTGTCAAGCCTTTTGAGGAAAGGTGTGTGTATGCATTTAACTTTTTTTTGAGGAAAGGTGTGTGTATGCATTTAACTTTTTTTTGAGGAAAGGTGTGTGTATGCATTTAACTTTTTTTTGAGGAAAGGTGTGTGAATGCATTTAACTTTTTTTTGAGGAAAGGTGTGTGTATGCATTTAACTTTTTTTTGAGGAAAGGTGTGTGTATGCATTTAACTTTTTTTTGAGGAAAGGTGTGTGTATGCATTTAACTTTTTTTTGAGGAAAGGTGTGTGTATGCATTTAACTTTTTTTTGAGGAAAGGTGTGTGTATGCATTTAACTTTTTTTATACTTATTTTTATTCAACTACTTCAAAATTTTGAAACTTTGAGTTTCTGATGTTACTAATAATAAGTCAAAGTTAACACAAAGTTAGAAAAAAGATTTATTGTAAAGATTTAAACCTGCTGACAGCTGCGCTTAAAATGTTAAGCATTGTCACATCTAGAGTACTATGCTAACATATTTAACATGGAGTACTACGTAGACATAGATAACATAGAGTACATAGAGTACATATTGTTTATCTGAAAAATTATTAGATTTAAACTTTTTAAATCTATTAATTTAAAAATAGATTAAACTGTAGCACAAAATACATACCAACATTTTTTTTTATTGCCAACATAATTCCTTACAGTTTTTTTTTTTGCAAAAAAAAAAATAAACAATGAAAGAAAATACATATCACTCTCTCAACCCAAACTGATGTAGCAGCCATTCCCTTACATATTCCTCCTAAATCAATCAGCATAAATACTGAAGCCCTTACAATATCAGTTGTCATATATATAGTTCTTATACATCATGTGTCATAATAAGGGTCAGCATTATGAAGTACTTTGTGCATTTTTAAATGTTTGATTTTAAATTTTCAGAAAAAGGTGTAAGATTAGTAAAGAGAAAAAAATGTTTATTTTTGTTTTGTGGTATGTACATGTTGTAGTGTGTGTTTAAGCTCTCGTATATATTTAAGCTCTTATTGTAGTATGGTCTGAAGCTTTTGTTTTTTACTATTTTCAATTACTAAAAACTAAAAATATTAAAAATTTTAACGAATGATAATTTAACCAAGCATTTTTAACAAAAATGATTTTAAATAAAAAAAATTTCAAATTTATTTCAAAATTGTTTTAAATTATTAAAATATTTAAAATTTAAGTTAATCTTATTTTTTTATATTTATTTAGAGAAATCTATTTACTCTGAATATTTACATGACCTGTACAAAGCAGTTTTTAGTCGACTTCAAGCAACTGATATTGATCAAGAAATTAAAGAAAAGTCTATCACCTGCATGTAGTCCTTTTATTTGTAGTTCAAATTTTCTTTTCGACTGTTTGTATACAATCTATTGAACTATTTCGTAAGCAAATATTTTTTGTTTTATAGGGCACAAATCCTGAGCTACATGGGAGATTCACTTTTATTGGAATTACCCTCTTGCTTACCAATATATTTAGAACGTCTTCAAAATGAAATAACTCGACTCACAACTGTTAAAGCTCTAATTCTGATTGTCTCATCTCCTCTAAAATTAGATTTGTCTTTACTTTTAAATGATGCTATACCAATTATGTCTTCTTTTCTTCGTAAGAATCACAGAGGCCTGAAGTTATCTACATTAACATGCTTGGACACTTTTATACAAAACTATGGTATATTTTATAAAGTTTATAAATATAATATAAAATATAAATAAATTATGTATATTTAAAACTATGGTATATGCTTTAAAGTTCTTGAAACCTGTTAAAGAATTTTTCTCTTCAAAAATACCTGTTACAGTTTTTTTAGTTCCAGAAAAATATTTCTAGGTGGAGTGATGTCAATGAAACATTTTGAAGCTATTTTAAACGAACTTGTTTCTTTAATCAATGAAGGTGATCTTCATATCTCTCAGGTTAAATTTTTGTCAGGTTAAATCTCATGAATATAAAGTACTCTGTTATGACAAGATAGCAAAAAATATTTCTCATTATATTTAAGACAATCACTGTTTGTTCAAATATCTCAATGCAGTGGTCATCCTTATTAGGGATGACCACTGCAGTGTATAAAAATATGTCTTCCACTTTAAAAATATGTTATCCCCTTAATGTGTTCTATATGATAAAAAACACTATACTGCCCAAAATTGCCAGAAGGGAGTATGTTACAAATTGACAAAATGCCAGGAGAAGCAAAAGCAGTTTGTGTCATTGCTTTTTGAAACTAGTTCAAACAATTGTTTGTACAGTTCGTATGCACAACAGTGCAGAAAATTTACTTTAAATACCTTTTTCATTTTGAATTTTCTGATTTATTCTAATTTCAATGTTTGCGTGATTTTAATTTCATTTTTATGCCCACTCAATTTATTTACAAAAGTTTAATTAATGAAGTTATCAAAATACAGGTTTATTAAACTACAAAAGTTTACTTTAATTGATGAAATTAATACATAAGTTTTATAAAGAAACTTTAGTTATCATTTTTCAAGTAGAAATTATTTTTGAAGAGGAAGATTATATTTTAGAATTCAAATGATTTATTGTTGATGAAACATCTGAAGTTAAAATTAGGCACCGAATTATTGATTATAACAAAAATGTCAGGAAAATTGTAAAAATGTTTAAAAGGTCCCCAAACAAAAATGAAAATCATTTACAAAAGTATGTAAAAATTGAGTTTAGATCATCCATTTAATCATGGATTGCAAAACCTGATGGAGCAGCTTGTTGCTTATGCTAGACTGATCAGTGAAGTTAAAATTAAAAAAATTATTTTGTTAAAAAGACACTTCTAGATTTAGAATTGGATTTCAACATTGATATATCGATTAAGATGAAGGAGAAAGAATATAGAATGATATCTGATTTAGTAGTACTTTTACTTCCAATAACAGTGCAACTGTGGTCGCACTTAGTCAGCAAGGTGCAACTTTAAATTTCATCTGAAAATGCATAAAAGACAAAAATTAAAGAACAGCAATCTGAAATCGGAAAACAATTATATGATGCTTTAAGTCACTGAATTTAAGACTGGAGAACACCGTTAAGAAGCTTAGTATGTCTATATAGCCAGGTTACTTCATAAAAAATCCCAAAAGTTTTTCTACCAAATGAAGAAATAAATAAAGTGATGTAAAAAAAGATTGGTAGCAATACGAACACAAACTATAAAGGTAAAAAATAACATTTAAAATTCAAAAAGAAATACTGTTATTTGAAAGTAGTAGCTTAAGATGTGATCATCTTTTAAAAAAAAAATGATTGTATATAATTGATAAGGCCAACAAGTATGGAATCCAAAAGAGCATTCTCAGTTTTTATGTTCAAAAAATCAAATAGGATTAAGCTGAAATGATTGACACTGATTTTTTAGGGTAGTACTTTTAAAATTAAATATAACTCATTTATATTCATGCATGTTCATATTATTTTTAGTTATTATTTTTATTTATACTATGTTATCATTTGAAGGTGTTGTTTTATAATTTAAATTACTTAGGTTCATTAATGAATGAAGTACTTTATTTATATCATAATTAAGTAAATCACATTTAGAAATTTGATAAAACGTTACTTTTTCTTATGCTTCTCTTACTACAATTGTTTTTTTTTCTATTTAATCCCAGGATTTCCCAGGGACAACTTTTTCAATCCTGAAATCCCAGGATTGAAAATGTTTGGAATTTTTGCCATCCCTTTTAGTAGCAACAATTTTAAACAGTTTTTAGTTTGTTATTTTAAAAACTAATTATTTTATAGAGTTTTTATTTTATATATTTTTTAAAAAAATTAAAATTGAGGTTATGATTAAAGTTACATCGAAAAAAATTTATCGATTAGTAATGTTATTACCAAATGTCTATAACATTTAGTAACATTTTTAATCCCTAACAGAATGATATAAACAATGTTTTTAAAAATTTATTATTTTCAAATTATTAAAAAAAATTAATAATTATTAAAAAAAAAAAATTAATATTTTATTCATTATTTTATTTATTATTTTATTATTTTTAGCTTGTTCTTTGTCTACTCACTTCTATGATAACTAATAAGAAACAGTTAATGCCTATGGTATTCTTTTCAATTATTTTGTTCAATATTTTGTTCAAGCTCTTTTTTATTTTTTTGTTGTTTTATTAATTTTATTATTAAATTACATTTGTCAATTTTTTTCAACTCTCACTTTGTATGATTCTAATTAGTTCCTGCTGGGTATAACATCAGTTTAATGATGTTTTTACTCAAGCCTAACTTTGTTTTTCATACTAAAGTAAATATTGTTATTTTTGTGCTAATGGAGAATGGGGTATTTTTAACATATTTTTGTGAGCAAAAAGTATATGGGCAATTCCATTTTTAACTTACATTATCTGCATTTTACAATAATACTTTTTTTATAGTTCAAGAAAAAATGTAACTTTCGGAAGCATAAAAATGACTTTAATAGATTAATTTAGTACATAAGGATATATTTTAAATAAACTTTCATGTGTCTACATCAATATTCATTTGCTAAAAGTTGACAAAAAAAAGAATAAAATTTAACTACTTTTTCATTTTCCGCCTTGGGATTGCCCATATATATATATATATATATATATATATATATATATATATATATATATATATATATATATATATATATATATATAATATATAATATATAATATATAATATATATATATATATATATATATATATATATATATATAATATATATATAATATATATATATATATTAGGGTGTCCCAAAAAACAACATTTTTGAAAATAATCTGCTCTCACCCTCTAAATGTGTTCTATCTAATGCAAAAACACTAGGTTTAAATTTTTTTTGAATAAAAAATATTTTAAGGGGTCCCTCAAGACCCTTGAATATTTAATGGGTCCCTAATATTTTTGAAAAAAAAGTTTTTCAAAAATATGTCAACCTGGTACTCAAATGAAGCAAATTATATAAAAATTTTAAAAATAATATTTATTTTGAAACAAAATTGTCATTTTTGGTTTTATTACATAAAAAATTGCGTTTTTTAAGAAAAAATGAAAAAAATGCATTTCTTATGTTTTTTTATGATAATTTTGATAAGTTAAAAATATTTCGAAATGAATATTATTTTTGAAATATTTATATAATTTTATATAATTTATATAATTTATATAATATAAATTTCAATTCACCTCCTCAAGGCTACGAAAGCCACTACAGCTGAGGAGGCTACTTTAGTTGTGGTTACATTAATATATAATATTTAGTTCCATCTACTTGATAATCAACTGAAACTTTTCCTTAATTTCATCTATTGTTTATTACTATTATGTCTTAAATGTGTCAAAGTTAGATTCTGCGTATATAGCTGAATATGGTTAAAGGAGGATGATGAATATGGTTTGATGATGATGATGATGATAATGATGATGATGATGATGATGATGGTGATGATGATCATGATGATCATGATGATCATGATGATTATGATGATCATGATGATCATGATGGTGATGATCATGATGATGATGATCAATAATGATAGTGATCCTGGTCATGATGATAAAAAAAGCAGAATAAGCTTAAAGTTTTAAAACAATATTGCATAGGCACTGACAATGTCAAGAAAAGTCTTGAGTTTTTGAACAGTAGGAAGACCATCAAAAGGTTTGTAAATGAACCTCCAAGTAAGTGCATCTGTAAAGCTTTCGTGTTTTTGCCAATTAGTTATTTGTGCTATGATTTGTTGAATTATTGGCCAGAGTACCACAAAAATAACATTCCCTGCACACATCATTTAATGGGTTACAGTCATGTATTTTGTACCAAGTCCAAATTATTTTTATATTTGATAGGCGGAAAAAGCTGTTTTCAGGACTTTCATAAAAAAGAATTTTACTTCCAGGGTCTTTAGAGATCATAAAATCAAAATCAACCATTATTAAAACTTAGATTCTGTTTTTATCTTTCACATTGTTTCTGTGAAAATCTAGAATAGAAAAGATTCTTAAATTTTCACAAGTCTAATTGCCCTCTAGCCCTCTACCTCTAATTTGCCCTCTACCCCTCTGAAATTCTTTGTTGAGATAAATTCATTTCTCATATAGTAATTGGTATCGAAAAAGTACTGTAGTGGAGATAATTTTAATTTAATAAGTGCTATGTATATTTATTTACCCTATTTAAACATAATTATGCGAACTTTTTACAAAAATTTGTCTTTTACCTTTATCGTTAACATAATCATTCAATGTTTCCAAATGGTATATATATATAGCATATAAGGTATATGTCGTTTCTCAATTACATATTGCCTATATTATATCTTTTTTTTTTTAGATCAAAAGTAATGTTTTGCCAGTGGCACTTCATCTAACTAGATCTCCTTTGTTACAAGGTATAAAAACTCTTCAACTCTTACTCTATATAGTCTACATAATGACTAAAAATACAAAAATGAACTCTATAGAGTTTATACAATAAGAAATACAAAGTTTGAAAAAAAAATGATGTTATTTGTTTTTAGGCAATGCATTGAAATCTATGTTGTCCTTTTTAACGCATTTTGTTTCAAGTGAAGAAATAGAGTATCAACCACTGATAGAGGTAATTAACTCTATATGTGTTTGTACTAAGTGTTTGTATTGGATGTTGGGTGTATTTGCATTAACATTTAATATTTTAACTTTTTCAGATGTTAACTGAAGTTATTTATCATCCGACTAGTAAAACTTCCAATTTAGTTGTCCACAAAATGGTTTTCTTCTTTCTTTTTTCTTTTTTCTTTTTCTTTTTATTTTTTTTATTTTTAAATAATTTAAGACCTATGCATGTATTTGTCCAATTTTATTAGTATTTGTATTTAGGCATTTTACTCTATTGCAAAATGTGCTTCAGCCATTACATTAGCCTGTAAAGTTCAAGCAGAAAATACAATTTTAAAATTAATTTCAGATATTAAGGTTATAATTTACTAAACTTTTATATTTTATACAACTTTATATTTAACTTAAATTAGGTTTTATATATATATATATATATATATATATATATATATATATATATATATATATATATATATATATATATACATATATATATATATATATATATATATATATATATATATATATATATATATATATGTATATATATATATATATATATATATATATATATATATATATATATATATATATATATATATATATATATATATATATGTATATATTTACATGA